GGTTGCCTGCCGCAGCTTTTGCCGACCGAGGCCTCGCGCTGTTCGTGGCAGATGAGGCCATATCATCGCTAGGCTGCTTGGGCGCGAGGTGAAGTCGGCAACAACGGCCTAGATTTGCGCTTTGCGAACGTCTCTGCGGCGAACGGCCGCAATGACTGCGAGAATTTCGAACTGGGGAGTAGTCGGCACAGCAGAACCAAACATTGCCAGAACATGTACAAGATGTGTATCAAACGTATGCATCCAGTTGTATATTTATTTGATCATATGAATTTAATTATGTATCCTTTTTTCTCTGCTGGTTCCAAATGGAACCGCTCGGCATTAATGGGTTAATTATATTATATAATTCACATGTGTTAGCTAGCTTATATAAGAAGAGTTGGTTGAGATTGTATTGACTTTTTAGGCATTTAGAAATATTTTCCACCCTAATATGAGTACAATATTCTAATTAAAATATTTAATTTCAATCTTTAAATATGTGAATTTATAACTAGAACAAAACAATTTCAATTATAAAACTATATATAAAATAATTAAATGCAGTGAATGGAAATAAAATGTTTGAATTGTGTACATGTTTATTTCAAACAGTGATAGCTTTTCTCATAACATAAGTCTTGTTTCAAGTCGTTTGAGGTTTGTTTGGTTGTCATTATCGATCCCTTCCAGTCCGTCCATCATCTTTTTGCCTGCTCCTCCTTACTCACGTCTCCTCCTTGTGGAACAGCCCTGTGCAGGCGGTGGCATTCCTGGCCACCCTTCCTGCTTTTGCTCATCTCTCTCCTCTTCTGATACCTTCCCCCCGGCCACCTCCCCTCCCCAGCGAGCGTGACGGCGCCAAAAAACAACATTGAAGACAATGGCCATGATAAAGAGGCTCAAGGATATTGGGAAAATAAGAAATTGCTTTGTCAAATTTAATCTCGAATAAGAGTTTCTTCTGAATATTTTTGTGCAGAAGTGATGAATTAAACAATAATGAACTTTGCTAACTATATAATTTCATCCATATTGTGTGCTCAAAAGAATAAACGAGTCGTACAGTGGATCAAGGATATTAATTATATCAAGGATATGTTTCCTGATGATATGAAAATGATATGATCCAGATTTGTAAATAAGTTACTAATAATAATTTTTTATTGATATGGTGGATACTCTAAAAAAAATGGATCTTCTGATTTTGAGGTTGTCAAGACCAAGTAGACTGAAATGTTGCCTTTCATTTCTTTTACAATGCATAAATTTTGACTTACTACTTTCGTCTTGGACCTACTCAGTCACGCTTTATCACAAGAAACTACTGAAATTTTTTAACTTTATTAAAAAAGTATGGGTATTAATGGGTCAACTAATCTACTTGTAGGACTTGAGGAGTAGGGCAACTAAAAAATCCCTTGTTTGCTGCCATGCTTTAGCAGCTTTACTATGCACTGCAGCTTTTGCTTTACTTTTAATTATTATTTGTGACTGCAGCTTACATTATATTTTCTCACTTGTGCTCTTCTCTTTTCAGACTCATAATTGTAAATGATGTTAGTTTAGTCTTGTGAGAGGATTAAAATTCTTTCAAAAGCTCAATTTGATCCTGCAGAGAAGCAATTACTTGCCTGGCTTGGCTCCATAATGTGTAAGTCCAGTGCTACCCAAACTCCATTGTAATTCAACTTCTCTATTTTGTCTCAATAGTATACTTTTTTGTGGATGTGTTGTCATAAGCAAATATAGTGAAAAATATCAAACAAATGTACAAGTAAAAACATGTTTTTTGTTGAAAAAATGGCCTGATAGTGAGTAAATAGTAAATGCTTTTGGTCTTGGCAGATTCTTGGCCGCAGATGCCACAGCTGCAGCAGATATGGCAACAGCTGCAGCAGATGATGCAACAGCTGCAGCAGATATTAAAACAGAAGCAGCAGCAGCAGCAACTGCAGCAGATACAGCAACAGCTGCAGCAGATGATGCAACAGCTGCAGCAGATGACGCAACAGCTGCAGCAGATATTACAACAGCAGCAACTGCTGCAGCAAATAATGCAACAGATGCAGCAGATAATGCTACAGCTGCAGCATATAGTGCAAAAGCTGCAGCAGATAAAACAACAGCAGCAACAGCAACAGCTGCGACGAGAACAGCTACATCAGCAACTGCAACAGCTGCTACGACAACAGCTGCAACAGCAACAACAACAGCTGCTGCAGCAACAACAACAGGCGATGCAACAACATGTTCAGCAGTTCACTGAACAGCTGGAACAACTTTCAGTCCTGCATTCCTTACAACGAGATCTGGAGCAAGTAAAACGGGTATTATCAGACCATCATGACCAGGTAATAAGGCTTGGTGCCCGCACCAATTTTAGAAGCAGCAAATTCATCAATATCTTTATTTTGGTTACATACACCATAGAAGGTCATTTCAGTTTCTGTCTTCACATTTGAGCAATATTTGATATCCCTGAGCAATTCTAGTCCCTTGTAGGTGTACTGTAATGGGGACACAACTACCACTTCATATTAAATATTCTTGTGTGGCTTTTAAGTTCATTGGTTATGTTCACGAGATAACATGTTATGTTTGGACAAGTGTCTGCAGATTATGTTGTCCATATTAAATATTATTGTTTGACATTTATGTTCATTGGTTATGTTAAACAGATAACATTATGTTTGGACAAGTGTCTCCAGATTATGTTGTCCACATAAAAAATTGTTTGTTGTAGGCGATGCAGTCAAGCGCAGCGCAGCAGCAGAACGGGCGAGACAATAGCCACTACTCCAAAGAAAGGTGCAAGAAATTCTTCAATAGGAGTTTCTTTGAGAATTGAATAGGTTTAGAACTAAGAGAAAATATGCACAAAAGTGCACATTGTCTGAAAGCCTGCCAGTGCTCCCTCCGTGAGGCAGCCTTATGTCGCGCATTTATTCTCTTCATCATGAAAGACAATTGATCAAAAACTCGTTCATAACATGAACCAGAATGGTGAAATTATATCTAGGATATGTTTCCTGATGATATGAAAATTATATGATCCAGATTTGTAAATGAGTAATTAATAATAATTTTTTATCGAGAAGCACACAATTACCCAAGTTTAGTTGAGTCCACAAAGGAATTTCCTGAGCAGGGCAGACCGGCAAGGAGACAGCAACGTTGACAGAGACCGGGACGGTCGGATGGACCGAAGTCGCGGCGACAGAAGAGACGCAGCAAGACACCGTGATGGTAATAATGACAGGGACCGTTCGAGGAGCGCCGACAGAAGAGACGCAGCAGGAGACAGTGATGGTAATAATGACAGGGACCTTGATATGCATCATGCACAAGTTTTTTTTATAATTTTATGGAATTTAAATTCAGTTTTTAGGAGATTATAATACCTTGGTGGATGCAGGTATGTTTAGGTATCTGAAGAGCATGAGGAGCAAAGAGCAGGTATTCTCTTAAGCAATAATGTTGAGAACTTGAGATGTTGCACTCAGTGCAACATCTCAAAATTCAAAATCAAAACTTTCAAACGTCTCAAAATTCAAAATCAAAACTTGAAATTGCATCACAAAAAGCCCCACCACGGCTTCCTGTTTGTTTTTGAGGCATCCTTATAATGCCTCAGTCAATCACTAATTATCTGACCATCGTTCTATCTATAGCATCACCAGCTGCAAAGTCCACAAATTGAAATATAAGCATTTAAATGAAGGTTTTAACTTGTACAATGGAATTGACGCTCTTTCCGCATTTTCTTGAGAAGGTGGAAGTATCAATATATATATTTATTTATTTTGGTAACTTGATTAAATTTAAGTAAATTGGATTGTTTTGTTTCTAATTTTTCATTTGCATAAATCGAATTTTACTTATAAAGAAAAATTTTGTGTACTGACTGCATTTATTGAATTCTTCAAGTGTGATTTAAACCTTCGATAGGCAAAATTTGCAAAAAATACATATAAATAATTATTTTGTATAATAGTTCTTACTTTCTTGGAATGGTTTCTGAAATTTTAATTTCTGGATATTTCAATGCTTGCCCGCTAAAGGGTTAACAATACTAATAACCACTAAGCATTCTTGAATAAATTCTGTGCACAAAGCTTGAAGAAATTTTCTACGGAATATTAGATGCAAGAAGATGGAGAGTGACTAACCTTTATTTGTATAAATATCCGACCCTGATAAGACTATATGTTGGAATTTAGCAATTTAACTTACAATTTGGCAGTGACAATAATTTCACTTGAGTGACATTTGAACAAATTTTAGAATTGGAGTTTCATTTAGCATTTTCAGTGTTAACATACATTTGTATGACCTGAGAAATGGCTCATCATGGGGCATGTCCAATGAAAATATGAACTGTCATGTGCAAAAAGGGAAATCTCTGTTTTATTGGATGCTAGGAGCTGGAGTGCGATTTTTACTAATGGTAAATGTAGATCCCAATTTATGGCTTGTGATACTCCTGGCAGAACTTCAGCAATGACCATGATCAAAGGGTAAAGTTGACATTGTTTGAAACGTGACGTTTTATTAGTTATTTTGGTTCTATGAACATGCAACTGTTGCAATGTTATGTAAAATAACTATGTTTGTTTCACTATTCCCTAATTTATTGCTTTTCTACAATATTTTTCTTACTAATGGCAGAAATAAATATAAGTTAATGTACAAATTCCAATAAAATATTTAACTTGATGGAATGTACTTGTTGTTGCCATGATGGTGCTGCCCATTTTTTCTAAGCTTTCCATTCATGGGCTTTACTTTAATTATATGTTTATTTCTTATGGCATATAGATTGTGTAACCTAAATCCAGAACTGTTTGACAGTACACATAACATGGACAGATGTTGCATTAATTCAGTTTATCTATTTTTTGTCTCCAAACACCGGCCAAATAATCGTATAATTGAAGTGTACTTATAATATTTTTGCCTGTATTTGATGTTGCTCGGGCAACCCTCCATGGTTACTAAACCAAGTACACCATCCATGGTTACATTGAAGGCAATCTTCCTCCTAACCCAGGGTATTCATCCCAACCCTGGCCCACACCCTTGCTCAGTCTGCTCACTCCCAGTTATGTGGCGAGGATACTTGTTCCTGTGCTCCAGGTGCAGTGCCTGGACCCACATGCGGTGCTCCGGGCTGCGCTCCATCCATCCCTACTCCGCAGACTGGCCCTGCCCTACGTGTAGACAGTCCGACTTGTTCCCAGTAAGACCCAGCGCCCTCTCGCCCTCGTCCACCCCCGCGCTGGCTCCCACTCACCTCTGCGTCCTCCAACTGCAATGGCATCCAATGCAGCGCAGTAGAACTGGCTGCTTATCTTGCTCAGAACAATGTGGCTATTGCCTGTCCAGAAGACAAAGCTATTGGCTGCATCCCGCCTCTTTCCCTGGATATGCGACAGAGGGCTGGGACCGCACCGGAGGTCATGGCAACGGTCTCCTCATCCTGATCCGCCACGACACCCCATATATTGGGCATGACATCTCCCCCCTCCTGCATGGCAATACCACCATGGAGGACACAGCAATCTCCACTCCTCTTAATGGCTCCCCCTCTTTATAATCAATTTATTCATTCCACTGCCTCCTCCTGCCCCCCAGGATATTCCCCGGATCTCTCAGACATTGTCACAATCTCAGGTGACTGTCTAGTAATGGGTGACTTTAACAGCCATCCCCGCTCATCGTTCTCTCACACTGAAAACCAGAGAGCCGCAGCAAGAGGCACCACAAACGACAACCTCATCTCTGGCTCTCCCTTCACCGACCTCAACGAAG